GGTGTCGTCGGCGTTCAGCGGTGGAGGCGGAGCTTTTTCTTTGGGCTGCGCCTGAGGCGGACCGGTCGCAGCGGGATCTGCAGCGGGTGGCCCTGCGGGCTTCGGCGGCGGCTGCTTTTGTGCCACCGTCTTGGGAGCCGTTGTGCCAGCAGGTTTGGCAGCAGCAGCGGCTGGGCCAGCAGTGCCGGCTGGCTTGGCCGCAGCTACAGCGGGGCCAGGCTGAGGCGCCGGGGCTGTAGGTTTCGGCGTGGCCGACGGAGCTGCCTGCGAAGCTGGCGGCATGTAGGCTTCCTGGGCCACCGTGTCGCAAAACTCCGGTGGCGTCTGTGGCGTTGCAGCGGGTGGTGAGGGCTGCGAAGCTGACGCCTTGGCTCCCGCCTGACCAGAGGCTGGCTGCTGGTCAATAACTGGTTGCTCAGCAAGCATTTCCAGGAACTTCCCCTTCTCTGACTCAGGGAGTGTCTTCAGGAGCTTGTGGATGTAATCCGCGCTAAAGGGGGTCTTGGACATGGTGGCACAGGCAATAAAAGGGGCTCAAAGTGGGATCTCGGGCACTAAACAGCAAAGAAGAGCAGCCGGGGTGTAAATCAGTGCGGGCATGTTCCCATGTCCCCTAGCGAGCTGCGTGCATAAGCGATGTAAGATCGTATTTTGCTAGCAATCCCCAGCTGATGCAATCACGCAAGCCCGGCGTCTGCACAAGCGGGCTCCAGAGGGCAATTCCATGGCTGGGGTGAAATCAGAAAAGCAGCCACAAGCCGGCTGGCATCGAAAGGTGCAAGTGTCAGAATGACAGGATAAGCAAAGCATACGAGAGCCCGAGTGGAAGATTGAAAAGTGGGCAATGCCCGAACTGCTAATGAGAAAACGAATAGTATCGCAAGCGGGCTTATCGCCTGAGGGTGCCGCCTGCTCTACTGCTGCGGTTCTCTCAGTGGGGCCATCGCGCCGCCAATCGGGGTAACCTGAAGCGCCGCTTTGCTCTGACGAAGCAGGCTCGGGAGCGGGCC